CGACAGGAAATTAATCAGAAAATGAAGGGTTATAAATTGGAAGGTGTCAAACTGGTAACATACTAGTCTGTTAATGCTGCTGGAGATTTCAGCTCAGTCTCCCATCTCATTCATTGACCACGGTGGTAGTCAGTGTATCCCTAAAGCTCTGATTTATTTCATTTTTGAGCACATAAGTACTTCCTGAAAAGCTATTTTTTTTTCTCCACTAATATTCCTCAGACTACATAGTATTTATGCATCCATGATGATCAGGCGGTCACAGAGCAATACTCTTTTTCCAGGGTGTGCCTGACAGACATAGCAGACTGCAAGTATCAAACTTGAGTGATGAACAACGGTGGTTGTGAAGTTGTCAGAGACCAACCTCACTGTTCCACCCGATGGCTTTGGAGGTCTGTGGCTCAGGTGGTAGAGCACACATCTCACCAGTCAGTGAGTGAGATTTTAAGATTCTTTTATCGGTGTTGACTAGTGCCTGAATCCCTTTGGGACATGCTCTCAATGTATGTGCCCTCCATAGACTGTATTTAAGAAGTGGACGTATTCATCGTGACGTCACCCAGTTGTTTGTAGATTTGGCCGTCGCCATCTTGGCCTTTTTTGCAACTAATGAACGGAGGTTACCATGTTTGGAATGCAGAGGAGTGACGTAGTGACCCTGTATACTGATCTGGTAGCAGCATCATCCTGTCAATCACAGTAAGCCCGCCCCTTAAGCATACTCCTCTTTATCGTCTATTTTACTCTGAATGGGACCATAATTTACGAAATGAACATCATGCTGTGTTGAAGAAGACTTGAAAATAGCACCCAGGCAGGAAACACACCAGGGCAGGAAGCTAACACGTCCAGTTCATGCCGTGCCAACAAAGGTTATCTTTGCTCTTGTTGCGACAGGACGGATTCAAGGCGCTAGTTAGCCAGCTAGTACATGAACAAGACAACATGATGTTAAAAAAACAAAAAAATATTTACCATGCGGTAATAACACAATCAGTTCCGAACATTTTCTGCCTATTGGAACCAATAACCAGCTATGAAAAAACAGCCCTTGACCAAACAGTGTCCTGTGCTGCAGATGGAGAAAGTGACAGAAAACCGCTTTTAGGTCATTAATGTTTTTAAGAAAGTGATGGAGCAGCCTTTCTCTTCACAACCCCTCGCCCCCTCGATCTCTCACGTGCTCTAATTCAGGATTAAACCCAGACGATCAACCGTGAGCTCATGCACAAACGTTCCCATGAGGTCACATCCATGTCCAGTGAAAACCATGTCGTCAAATTTTAAGTTAGTTAAGGGTGTGGAAATACTCCTCATAGTCTAATAACACCCTTTAAAAACATACTTAGAACAAGGCTGTTTTTCTTAGTTCAGAAAAAGCTGACGTCGTGGAGGTACAGGCATGTAAGGGATACATCCCTCATGATGATCAGCAGCTTTCACAGCCTTAAGTTGATCTATCAAACAGCAGAGCGGATACAGTGAGTCTGCCTGAAGCTAATCCTGCCAATGTGAACAGGATTTATCCGCCGTAATCTTACAGTAAGAGTTTACATTTAAGAGGAATCCCACAGTCTTAAACACTGATTGCGTCCTCCAGAAAACAGTTGGTAACATTGATCGCATGTTTACGTCTTCACACTGTGTTCCTAAAGGTTTACTGGCAACTCACACAAACACAGATGAGGTCACTAAATGAGAGAGGAGGAGCAGAGGAGAGCAGGAAGTGGAAATGTCTGACAGATATGTTTCCCTCAGACCCAAAACACAGATAACAGGAGGCTGGTTATCAGTGGGAAGTCCAGTTTCAGACATTCCCACAAACCAACGTCTGTCAACATGGAGGTATAGCCACGATAATGGAAAGAGCTCAGGGTGAAAGGACCAATTACAAACCAGTCCATAAAGATGGGTTGTGATGTTGAATAAATAGCGAGGAGGAGGTTGTTATGTTCAGGCACTATAACACAACTTGGTTTACTACAGAAAAAAAGTCTGCAGCAGTGACTCGAAGCATGAGGCAAGACGTGTCTATTAACATTCATGTGACCCCAGCCTGAACTAAGATACTCGCTTTGTACATGAAAAAGAATGAAAATAAATGAATATGGAAAAAGAATGGCACCCTGAGCAGTTAGGAGTTTGGCACCTTGTGTTAAGGGAACCTCGCTTAGGATGTCAACTCCAGGTACCAGTCCTGAATTGGTGTCCCTCTGGTTCCTCAGACCCCATAGAGGGAGCGAATATCAGTGAAATTCAAATATATTTAGTTTAAAACCAACCCCTGCTCCTACAAATACATTCATATGCTATACATTTCTTTTAGCCAATTAGGTTTTAGATGAAAGCGTAATCGATTCCTGGATCATGTTCTGTGGCATTGTTTTTTTTGGATTGCAGGAAGTACAACCTTTCTTTACTGCACAGGGCTTGAGGTAAGGTTTTTGGGATGGATTGTGCAAAGAGCAGGAGTTTAACACCAGAGTCTGGGGTTTGGCAGCCTGAGTCCCACGAGAGGTTTGAGCAGTATCGGTTTGGGTCAAATATTATTAAATATCTGTGTCTCATGCTTCATTGTCACTGCAGACTTTTATGTATCAAACCAAGACCATGATCTCTAAACGTAACCAAGTGCTGCACCATAAAAAGGTAAAACACGGCTGAAGTTGCTGTGACAGGAAAACAAGTGAAATATGTGGTCGTTAAACATTTACTGATGCTTTCAGTAGCGGCATTTTGTGACTTGCCAAATGCCTTAATTGATGCTTCCATATTTTACTGATGAAAATGTAATCCAGACAGTTTTATGCTCCTTGCAAAATGTACTTCCTGTTGCAAGTCGGTAGTACACGAGACAGGGTTAATAAATCACATCAGTGTCTGCACATAAAACTCTCCATGTGTATTTTGTGTTTACAGAATCAGTGGTTGCCTTGGTAATGGTCCAAAAATACTTTTGTTAAAATAATTTAATGAAATGCAGTGAGATGATTTCAGTCTGTTTCTGAGGCAAATTGAGTCGTTTCAAGAAATGCTAAGAGCGTCATTATCATGAAACAGGACAGGATTTCATGACTAAATCATTTTGCTCAAGGACACTTCAGCAGGGTGGACACTTTGGGTTCAAGACAGAAGTGGGCCCTTGTGCTTGCAGTGAAGTCTCTCTCACCACTAAGGCCTCTCTTCTGTCTGTAACCACTGTTGGAAGTCCACTGACTGAGTAAACTGCAGCGTTGTCCTTCAGTTAGCACCTGACCACAGGGCCGCCTGAGAATAGACACGGCCTCCTGAGGACCAAGACGGAAGAGGGCGGCGGTGGACTTGGGTGTCACCGGCGGTTATGGAAGAAGCGAGAAACAGCCCCCAGAGGCATGTCTTTACAACAGCTGGATGTTTCATTGTTCACAAAGTGGAAAACTACTCCTCACACCATGTTGCCGACGGGGCAGAGACATGACTGGAGGATCGTCAAAATATCCAACCTCAGAGCTGCAGAAGTGGAAAGTAACTTAAATAGTTTTACTCAAGTATGCAGTTTTGATGTTTGGGGATTTTTCTATTCTATTTGTTTCTGCTGTTCTGCCCATCCATCTGCATTGTATGATTTTTCTTTTTATGAATTTTCTTTTACTTTTTTAAGTTTTCACCCAACTAGGGAACTCGTCATCACTATCCGGACTTTCACTTTTGATACTTGAGTGCAGTGTTTTGCTCATACTTATTTTAAGATTTCCAATGCAAAACTTCTACTTGAAACTTAGTACTTTTACAGTGTGGTGTTCTTTGTACTCCACACATTTTACACATGAAGATGAGCTTCCTCATTATGAATTGCTCGGCCTGTGAGAAGCGTTGTATAGTGTCTCCTGTAGCTCTGGAAGAGACAAACAATAACTCAAGATGTCATATTCAGAGTTATCTTTGCTTGGACTTTGCGACTACAAATCTATGATAGGAAGTCTGCGATACAAACTGGAAGCATGACGTTTCAAATCATTTCTCCCAGTCAGGGAGATTGTAGTCAAAGACTATTTCAAGTGAAAATGTAGGATCAAGTGTTTTGGAACTTTACCCCCTTTCGAGGGAAAAAATAACTTGGGGCCTCTGTTTCATCACTTTTGGCCCCTGATTAATAATTCTGACAAATACCTGGGAGTGGAAATAATTCCTCCCACCACTGAGAGTTCATGGCCCCAAACCATTCCCACCAGCAGCACACTTTAATTCAGACACCTGATAAAACAGTTTGTCACACCGGACCAAAGAACGGTGTGTTCTTGACCTTTTATTGGAAATGTCTCATTGTGTTGGTGACCACGCAGTCCGAATGTCATGATAGGATGTCTTAAACTTTTTACAGCATGCCGCTGAGAGGTGAAGTCACAGTAAAGAGAGAGAGAGAGAGAGAGAGAAACACAAAGTGAGGAATCGAAGCAGACAGCAGGAGAGAGAGAGGCAGAGCGAAGCATAAGTGTGTGAGACTTGGCGGAGCTCCCTGAAGCGCTGCACATTCCCGCAAGATTAATTGTGGCTGTTTTTGTTTTTTTTTCTCGTTTTTTTTCAGTCAGCGAATTGCCTCCCGATTACAGAGAAACAGCTGTTCACCCACTTCCCCCGGACTCTGCCTGTGTGATTATGCGTCGAGTGACAACCGCGACAAACATCCAGCGCTCACTCAAGTCGCTCCGACGAAGCCTTCCCGCCCCTTTGTTGATGTTCTCTCCATTTAGCAAACTTGTCACTCGTTTGCATGACGATTTAATAAAACAAATCAGACACGATAATTACAACGACAAAGAAATATTTATTAAATCTTTTTTTTTTTTTTTTTTTTTTAGTTAGTCATAGCTGCTCCAACACGTGTATTTACAAAGAAATGGCCTTTTTGTAGAAAATTCTAGTGAGGGATTGAGCAGGAAACAGACATTAGAAGAGTTTAGATGAGTACAGGAGAGGGTGGGGGTCATATAGGCACAAGTTACACTTACTAAAAGGTCAAAAGAAATGTGCAGTTTTGTGGCACATCCAAGTCTAGTAAAGTAGCAAGTAAACCTCCCCAATGCTAGATGCACTGACAAAAGCGCACATCCTTTTTTTTTTTTTTAAAGATACAGAGGATGGAAAACACGCTGCAAACCAGGGACACAGTGGTGTTAGCTTCAGGCTACATGGTATCAAAACCAGGTGAAGAAAGAAGTCCTTAGAACATATCACTCGCCCTCCTTGTAGCACAGTTAGCTCCAGAGAACACGAAACACCAACATTGGAGGTGGAAAACAGACTTCCTGCCGCTGCCACAAACAAACACGTTGAGCTTTCCACACCAATAAAAGCGTCTCCTGAGTCCTGCAACAAAGTTGTCTCGCCGCAGCCTGGCTCGGAAACAGTTGGAGGTGAAGATCAGCGAAAGACCACGAGCAGACACAAAGAACATCCTGCACCTTTTAAAGACACTTTTGATGCAACAACACAATAAACAAGAGTGTCTTTTTTCGTGGAAAACCGATATTCTGGCCCCGTCGGTTCTTTCTTCAGGCCCTCTGATCCATGATTGTGACCCGACCACACTGCATGATATGTGCCATATTTGCACAAACACATTTACAGACAGGGGGTGCAATGTTGATCCTGTTTTTTTTTTTTTTGTATAAAAGACATATAAAATGAAACAAAGCATTTTTTTTTATATATCAAACATTGAATTTTTTTTCTTGCTAAGAACATTAATGTGCCCTTCAAAAGAGGTGTGAAAAAAGAGAAAGTATCTAACGCTGTGTGTTACAACAGACTCATTGTTGGATACACAGTATCCACAAAACTAACAGATTGGTTTTTGCCGTTGCGGCGTGGCTAGAGGCAATGATTGCAGTGACAGTGGTGAACCAAAACACACGAAGGCTGGTAGGTGTGAGGGGAGGACAAGATGTTTACTAATGTGCTAATTTGTGCCCTCAACTTGAAAATGATTTGCTCCAAAAACTATTCTTACCCTCAAAATACATCATTTATTTCCTTAAAGGGACAGTGTGTAGGATTTGGTGGCATCAACATGGGGGACCAAGTGAAGACGACCCGCTATTTATGTAGATTTGAAGGGTTCATTCCAATCTAACGAAAACACAACGATTCTTCAAGAATACCATATTCCATTTCTGCTAATAAATCCCTTGAAATGCTACTATGGCCTTTTTAAATGAACAATTCCTCCAAAGCCTCTCGGCCACTCTTTGCTCAGATTTAATGATATTTCTATGTCGATGTTCAGTGAACGTGAATGTTCTTTTGCGTTTTTGTCTGTGAAACAGAAGAGAGAAGACCTAAACATTTGAAATAATTACATATCAGTCCAGAATTAGATGTAATTATATATACATTTGAGAGCATAAATGCTCTTTTTTTTAAAGGGGCAGAGCACTGATTTTACAAATCAACTTCAGTTAACTCATCACAGAGAGACCTTGGCCTGTGAAAACACGCATGACGATATATGTGTTGCTATAGTGATGGAATAAAATGCATTAAATACAATTATTTGATGTCTTTTATGCAAGTGTAGTATGTAGCATGTAGCTGTGAAATGCAGCTTTCTCTTCATATTCAATTCATTCCAATGCAAACTTAATTAAATGTTTGCTTTGTGTGAGCGAGTAAAGTAATATCGCATGTAAAAAAGTTTAAATGTTTTAACTTTGGACCGCAGTGCAATCTCCCGTTAACGTTACAGGTAGTCTTTGCCGGCCTCATCTAATTTTACCGATCTGCTCTTTTCCGCTATATGTTATCTAGCATTCAACCTTTAATTACTACTATGTTTTTGAAATTTCATTGTATTGTCATTCTGACTTTTGCCTTAAAAATGACAACTTAGTCTGAGGTTTAGTTATATTTACCCTAAGAGTGGCCCTAGCATTTACAAGTCGTGATCAAATTTGGTTCCGTCTGTCAACCGAAACGTAAAATATGTAAACGAGAACGACGATATTGTGACTATACATTTGGCTGCATTAAAACACAGTATATACGTTATCGCACTCCTCTCTGTCTCTCTCCCAAATTGCAAGTACGAAAATGTAGCTTTGCTCTATACAGTACATAACGACCGTAACAAATGAAATGCTTGATTCAAAATGAATTTGAAGTTGACTTGTCGATAATAACAGGCATTTATATACATTCACAAGTGAATTTGACGCTTTAGAGGCACGAGTGCATAACGAGAGCGAGGAAAAGAGCCAGGGTCACGCGTGGCGCGCTGAGCAAAGCTTTGGTGAGCAGGAGAATGGAAGGTTTTTTTCAGATTGCATTGTCAGGATTGGTCGATTTGGGGGAAAAAAAGATCACAACCAGGTTGATTTAAATTAAGGAGAAGAGCAACATGTACTAATTTAGAAGTGATCATCATCACTGCGCATGACACGCCATTCCATCAGAAACCTCTCCCGTAAATGCAAAATAATAGGCGATCGTATCGACAGTCGAGCTTGATGTAGAATACTTGTTTACCGCATGCTCCTGCTTGGAAAACATGATCTCAACAGGAGCACTTCAAAGCTTCACAATCTCGCTCTCCGTTTCTTTGCTGTCTCAGGTCCACCAGTGCAGAGTTTCAGTTTGTCCGAAGAGAACAAGACACCTCGCTCTGCTTATGCCATCTCTGCTGGTGGTCAATTTATTTTTTTTCATTCCAGAAATAACCGGTACAAGGGTGCCCCCCCCCCCGCCCGGTGTATTTTCTGTGCAGACGCCACTTTACACATCAAAGAGGGCAACTGAATCACGCACCACCCCCTGCCCCCCACACACACACACTACTACCACCTGCTCTGTAACTCGGTCACTGTCTCACCAAAACATCTTTAGCCACAGAAAACTTGTGCTGCTTGAGTCGAGGAAGAGTAAACCCTCCTGATTTAAAAAAAATAAAAATGATTAGGCATGGACACATCCCTGAACGTTGTCGGAAATTTGTCTCTATATACAATAGTTGTGTTATGACAGTGATTCACAAAAGCAATAGTGTAAAGAGTAAAACTACATTTGTGACATTTTTAATGACATAATCGAAACAGAAATATTCTACGATTACTACACCCTGATAGCACATCAGACTTTTTTTTTCTTTTTCCTTCCGGACTTTGTTAAAAACAATTAAAAGAACATATCAGCGATCAAGCCAAACAGATACATAGACCGTCCTCAGTGTTTTTCGTATGATTGTATCAAAACAACGGTGTGATATGAACTAACTTAATGGGTAAGTGTAATTGTTTTGTTTTTTTATTGCCTTTTCTACTGTACTTACAGACTAAACCAGAACAGAGAAAAAAGCACGAGGACTTCACAATAAATAGGAAAATACATTTTGCCTGGCAAAATACCATATCCACTTCAAATATTTAACTGTACACTCGTGTTGGCTGCTACAGTTGAATTAGGTGATTTGTTAAAAAAAAAAAAAACGAACACATTAATCGATCATTAATTCGGCCCTATCCAAACACTAAAAGATGAGTGCCTCTTTAAATTTCTTTACTCTTAACATCCGACTCCTTTATAACCTGAGGGGAAGGTTAAGTCATCAGAGGCCCACGCCCTCTGCAACCGTCTCTTAGTGACAACATCCGTCTCCTTTTTCTTTCCATCGACCTGTACGTGATGCGTCGCTCCCGGATCTTCTTCCAAACATCTTCCACCTTGATGTGAGATTGTAATTATGTTGCATGTCGGGGAGTTACGTGATGTCTTCCTGAACTAAAAACAACTAAAAAAAAAAAAATGTTAAAAGTCTGTAAACTTTTGAGGGATCCTGCTGTGCTTCTTTGCCATTCAAGCGAAAGGGTGTAACTCACTGGCTGTGTAGTTTGTGTTCTGCGCGTGTATATGTTTGAAAAGCATGTACGTGTGCTTGTCTTTTAATATCTGCATACTGTGAACAGCAGCGAGGCCAACACGTAAGAGACTGCGCCTTTTTCACATCGGGGGCGCCTCGACCGTCGGCACCCATCAAAAAGTCAAGAATCACTCTAGCTGTCGAGTCAAAAAGCAATGAAGGCTTCAGTGTCGAAGTCCCTTCCTCTCTCTTTTCACTGAGAGAGATTGTCAGTGTTTATTTTTTATTTTTATTATTATTATTTCAAAAAGTGCTCCTTGAAGGGGAGGGGGTTGCAGGGTAGGGTGGCCTCTGGTCCAATCAGGACAGTCCATTCCTGGGGGGATTCCTCAGACTGGGCGCTATAAAGACAAGATGGCAGCCAGGAGTATGAGGGCGGAGCTGAGCAGGAGGACCGAAGTGTGGCGCCGGCCGACGGAGTTCACGTCCCTTCGAGCCGGCTCTGGAGACTCGTGACCGATGCCGTCTGAAAGGAAAGAATTTAAAATGAAAACCGGTGATGGTTAGCCTAGCTTAGCAGGAAGGGTAGCGCTCGGCAGCTTCTTTTGATTACCAGTCAAACATCTGCAGATTATATAAATGCATAATTACAGGATTGTATGCTATTAACAGGCAGTATGTGCATGTCAATTCACAAATCGTGATAGATAAATGATCAGCAGTGGTAACAAACACACACAAATGTTATTATGTGCTATATTTTCCCACCAACCTCTGGGTTCTAGGGAGTTTTGACTGTTGTCGTCAAAATCGACCCCTTCCTGCACGGTGCCAGGGCTTTTCACACAATTGTCTTTGAAAAACAAAGAGGAGAGAGGATATGAAGATTAGAGAACTCGAACGTCACTCGCACACAGCCCGATCACAAGCCGGTGCACAATAGAACGGGCCTATAGACTCAACAATCAGCGACTCACTCTGAGGCCTGACGAAGACTTTGAGTCGAAGGCAGCTCCTTCTGCCCTTGTCGTCAGTGATGGAGGCTGTGGAGAGATTGCGCAGGAGTTCAGAACAAAACACTTTAAACATGTTACCCACAGTTTTCCATTTTTAAAATGCCTTCCTTGATCTTATCTAGGGTTGTGTGATTACGGTTTATAATGGCTTGTTGTCGTATTTCGCTCAATGACATTCATCCTCCGGAAACAAAGCTGTTTTGTTAGAAAAAATTAAAAAAGAATGTTTTAATTTGACAACAACACCTTTACTTTCATATTCTACTAAACTTGCAGTGTAAAGGAAATCTCTTTAATGTACAAACCTTTAAATCAAACACTCCAAAGTGTCAGAATTGCGCCGTATCACTTTTTTGTACGGCTGCTTGCGTTTTTAGACATCAAACATTTGAGGACTCAGGTAACTTTTCCTAAAAGTCCTAATAGTAGTAAAATGACATTTCTGATCTTCTTTGCATTAACTGCAGAGTGTGTACAATGAAAGTCTTGAAAGAAGGCACACTATATGTTGGACCTCGACCGATCTTTGATCGCCCATGTCTCTAGGCCAAGACAAGACCCCACGATCACCTGATCTGCATCTCGAAAGGCAACAGTATCGCACAGTCCGATTCCAGCCTAAGTTTTGTGGTCCTATAAACTTCTGGAAACCCACTCAATATTCCCCATTCACATCCACTTCACCTGACACCTCTTCACTCTCTAAAATCTACCTTCATTCATAAACATCGGCTAAACTGTAGAGTTGAACAATCTGACAAGGTCGATTTCTTTTTTTCTTTTTTTTGCTCCATCAGCGGTATTCTACACTTATCCCCTTTAAATAGAGTCTGAAGAGCTTCATCTCTCCTTCTGTACTCCCCCTCTCATCGTGATGTGAAAGCCTTTCTGCTCCATATTTTATGATATGAAACAACTCAATGTCACCCTCGCATTTCCAAGTCTAATTTGGCCAGGGGCAGTCATTTCTGCAGATGACTGACATGCTGTTATGCCCACCTGCAAAATCTAATTTCCTCTGTTTCCTGATTGTGAAAGGCAAAGATTAAAAACTTCTTTTTTCTGTTTTTTGCCGGGTTGCTGTGATTGTTTTGCAGAACTAACAAAACAAATTAGTTTCAAGTAGGGCAGGAGACCAAGTCGCTAATAGAGCGCCGAGGGTGTCCCCAGCAGTGACGAATGACTTCGACTTCTGTGTGCGCTTTTGTCGAGAACATTTTTATGTCTTGTCTGACCTTATGTTCATCCCACTTCAGATTTTCTCCTTTTCTTTTTCTCCCTCCTCATGGGCCTCCATACTCTGACCTCTGTGATCTCCTGCTGCCATGCCGAGTCTCTCAAACTGCTTTTAATCTGACCACAAACAAACACACATACACACAACCTGTAGTGTGACAGTGTGGCATGCACGCTCGCCTGTCCATTGTTTGTCCACAGACACCCCTCTATCCTTCCACCCAGACACTTCGCGTGATGGATTCTGTCCGTGCGGTGAATTCCCCGATAAAAGCAAACCATGTCAGTGGTTCCAGTGTCGCAGATGACTCCGGCTCTCATTTCAAAAGGCACTTTATCAGATGCCGCGCGGCTGCGAGAGGAGATAAAAATCCTCCTTATAACTTCACCACGAGAGGAATATTGGAAGTGAAGCAGCAGAGGGAGGAAATAAACGAGAGAGAGAGTCGGTGTCAATCACGGCCGCTTGTGTCTGTGTCAGCGGGTATCGAGTAACTTACCTCACACTCCGACGGTGGCTGGAACAGACGGGAGAATTCACCGTCTCGGATTCTGCCTCTGAACTCGACTGGCCCAAACCCCTGTCTCTGTCTCTCTTTATGCCTCTCATGCTTCTTGTTTCCTTGACTGCCGTTATCTAGCTCTAACTTTCTTCGACTGCTGTACAAAGTGTACTTCTGCAGTCTTGCACGGACGTCTTGAGAGACCGATGTATCAAGACACATTGTAGGACAAAAGAAAGCTCCGATCTAGATTTTTTTGCCATTTAAATGATTGATATTTTAGTCTATAGAATGTGTAGCGAAAACTGACATCCTCAAATTGCATATATTGTCCGATCAATGGTCCATAAACCAAAAATATTAATAAAAAAAACACAGAGAAAAGGAAGGAATTAGCGCTTGATAAAAGACTAAATGGTAATTTTCTGATGTATTAATCTGCAAGTAACCAGAGCATACATCTGTCTCCACACATATCTCGACATATGTTAGAAGGAAACAGTCTGTGAAATGCATTAGCAGTAGCTGCCGTTGTTTTTTCAGATGGTAAAAAAGCCAAATTAAAAGTATTAAAAACACAGATTCTAAATAAAAACTTGTTTTATTTTGGTAATTAACCATGCTACAAGCAGGGTACTGCACCCTAGGGTGTCGTATAGCGGGAGACCTCGTCATGCATTATCTCTTGTCTGCCATGGGCAGCTTGTTAGTGCTTTGATGGTTTTTAATGTGGAGAAAGTAGCACATTTTGCTGTGTTTTAGTACCTTTGACCAATCATTTGTTTAGGTGTGAGGTCATTATACATTTCCAAAAAGCTCACAATACCGATGCTTGGTCAGTGGCCCTACGCTTCAAACTATGACGCTTCCTCTGGCACCAGTTTTGGACAACGTTTGCTCAAAACTACTTGTTTAGTTTTGGGAAAAAAACGTTGTTTGGGTTCAAATAAGTGTGCTTGTTACATAGCTGGCTATAAGTAGGCTGTGCGAGTTTCAAAGGACACTAACAGCGGTCTCCTGAGTCAAGTCCTGTGTTTGTTTGAAGCAACCGTCCACCTCGATCTCCTCCCTAAGCAGACTATTTTGCTTTTACATTGGAGTTAGTTGAAAGCTTGGCGCATCGGTACCAGATGCAGAGAGCCACTGACCAAGCGGCGCTACTTGACAAGTTGGGTTGGGTTTGGATTCGTCACTTTTATGAGATTTTTGAAAGATCTGAGGAAGATCCTTCATCCTCCAAAATGTTGTTTTGTCTGTTAATAAAACATCCTAGTTGCAGCTGCGAACACTGTGCCGGATCTTTTCTTCCCTCTTTGTTTTTCTGTTACTCACTCTCGTTTTTAATCTTTCGCTGACATCGTGTCACACTGTCTTCCTCACGTCTCACTTTCTCAGCC